AAAAGAGCCAAGGTTGCCTACGCCTGGCCTAGCTGCATTAGCTGCTGTTTTTAAATTATTATTGTTGATCATCACTCAGTCAGCCAGATGTTCAGGCTGGGTTTGGCATTTTGGTCTACCTATCAGGTCCTTACCAATGACCTGGGATAGGCAGATGTGGATGTTTGATGGTGTTACAGATATCGTGGCAGGATGGAAGCTGTTCCCAATAAAACTGCCTTTTGCAAGTGACTGATGGTGAATTTGTCAATGCCGATGACGTTCAAGTAGTGCTCCAGCTGTTTTGGGATTGCACCCAAGGCACTCATTACTATTGGTACTACCTTTGCTTGCCTTTGCCACAGTCGTTTTATTTCTATTTGCAAGTCTTTGTATTTGGTTATTTTCTCCAGATCTTTCTCTTCTATTCAGCTGTCTCCAGGCACTGCCATGTCCACTGTCTAAACTTTTTTGTCTTCCTTATCGACAGTTGTTAAGTCTGGGGTGTTATGTGTTAAGTCTGCAGGTGTCTGTCTGCTTGAATCCTAAAGTCCCAGAGCAATTTAACTTTTTCATTTTCTATGACTTTCTCTATTTTATGGTCCCACCAGTTCTTGCTTTCAGGCAAATGATATTTCTTGCAAATCTTCCAACACACCATTGTTGCTACTTTATCATGCTGCTGCTTGTAGTTAGTTTGTGCAATCTTCTTGCAGCAACTTACCAAATGGTCCACTGTTTCTTCAGCTTTGCATAGGCGGCACTTACTGTCTGTTGCTGTCTTCTCAATTTTGACTTTGTATGCATTTGTCCTTAAGGCTTGGTCTTGTGCAGCCAGAATTAGTCCCTCGGTCTCTTTTTTCAACTTTCCTGCTCTTAGCCATTGCCAGGTCTTGTTATTATCTGCTTTCCCAGCTATTTTTTTTTAATGTACTGGCCATGTAGTGCTTTGTCTTCCCATGTCTCCATTCTGTTCTTCATTTGACCTTTCTTGCTAGGCCAGTTTGGTCTCTCCAGTACTCAGTAAGCCTTCCTGATATACTAACTTCAGTGCATCTTCATCATTGTCCTTCAGATATTCTTCCAAAGCCATTTTTTAATTCTTCAACCATCTAATGTACTTGCAATATTCCACGCCCACCTATTTGCCTTGGTAGACAGAGTCTGTTAATGTCACTGCGTGGATGAAAGGTATGATTCATTATCATTATTTTTCTGGTCTTCCTATCCATTGCTTTTAGTTCTGCTATTCCAGCTGTGTATCTAAGGACGTGAATTGCCTAGGTGTTGATTGCCTTGATGGTATTTCCTCCATTGAGTTTGGACTTTAAGATCTTCTTCACTCTCTTGATGTATTCACCTCTAATCTTTTTCTTGACTTCAGTGTGCTTGATGTTGTCAACTTGAAGGATACCCAAGTATTTGTAGTAATCTTCCTCATCCAGACTCTTAATGTTATTTTCGTGGGGCATCTTCCTCCAGTTTTCACATTTATCCAAGCCAAACTTCATTGCAATATCTTGACTATATATACGGACAGTGTTGAGCAGCAATTCTATTTCAGATAGAGCAGTGGTTCTCAACCTTTTTAATGCCGCGACCCCCAACCGGTCGTAAGTCGAGGACTACTCAACTGGTGCAGCACCGTTTGCAGAATGGGACTTTTGGTGGGCTCAGCAGGGCAGAGACAGCCTGGACAATTCCTATTGGCTTTTGAAGCCAATAGAATTAGACTCTATTCAAGAGAGTCTATTCTATTGGCTTTCAAAAGCCAATAGAATAAAAGGGAGTAGCACAGCTAAGGAAAAGGGGGGGAAAATGGCAGACTGCGTTGTTTGGCGACCCCCGTGAAATGGTTGTTCGACCCCAAATGGGGTCCCGACCCACAAGTTGAGAACCACTGAGATAGAGTTTTTCCATACAGCTTCAGATCATCCATGTAAAGGAGATGGAATAGTCTGGCAGATGTTTTTGATGTTTGATAGCCGTGGCCTGAGTTACTCAGTATCGTTGACAGAGGAAACAGTGCAATAACAAATAGTAATGGTGATAATGAATCTCCTTGAAATATTCCTCTCTTGATATTAACCTCTCCCAGTCTCTCACCATTGATCTGCAACTGTGTCTTCCATTGTGCCATCGATCTTTGCACAAATTTTCTGATGTTTCTACTGACTCCTGTTATTTCTAGGCACTTGATTATCCAGTCATGTGGTAGAGAGTTGAATGCCTTTTTGTAGTCAATCCGTGCCACATTCAGGTTGGTCTTCCTTTTCTTGCAGTTTTCCAAGAACATTTTATCTATTAGGAGTTGATCTTTTGTTCCTCTGCTGTTGGGGCAGTTTCCTTTCTGCTCAGGTGGAAAGAGATTGTTTTCAACTAGATCAGTGGTTCTCAACCTGTGGGTCGGGACCCCATTTGGGGTCGAACGACCATTTCACGGGAGTCGCCAAACAATGCAGTCTGCCATTTTTTCCCCCTTTTCCTTAGCTGTGCTACTCCCTTTTATTCTATTGGCTTTTGAAAGCCAATAGAATAGACTCTCTTGAATAGATTCTAATTCTATTGGCTTTCAAAAGCCAATAGGAATTGTCCAGGCTGTCTCTGCCCTGCTGAGCCCACCAAAACTCCCATTCTGCAAATGGTGCTGCACCAGTTGAGTAGTCCTCGACTTACGACCGGTTGAGTAGTCCTCGACTTACGACCGGTTGGGGGTCACGGCATTAAAAAGGTTGAGAACCACTGAACTAGATGCTGTTGGACTGCATCAGCTACCCTACCAGTTAGCAATTTGAAAGTTGTTGGTATGCAGGTAATTCGATTTGGCCTTTTGTAAGTGACAGATTGAAATTTTGTCAATGGACAGATTTGCTTAAGTGCTGCCCAAGAGTTTTTGGTATGATACCCAGAGTGTTGATAACCATTAGGATCACCACAACCAGTTTATGCCATAATCTTTCAATCTCTCAGATCTTGATATTTTGTGATCTACTCCAAGACTTTTATTCTACTATCTCCTGGTATTGCTGCATCAAATTATTCATGCTTTCTCCTTTTCAACTACAGTTAAATCTGGTATGTTATGAGCCAAGAAGTTATTGGTTTGTATTTGGAAATCCCACAATATTTTAACCTGCTCATTCTTGACTACATCATCAACTCTTATGTTCCCATCAATTTAATTTAATTGATGGGAACATGGTACTTTTTACAGGCTGAATCATTTTGGCGATTGTGTTATGTTATCAAAATCAGTTTGTGGTTTTTTTGGTTTTTTTTTTTTGCATAAACTATTCAAATTAATGCAATCAGGACCAAAACTGAAAAAAATCAACAAATAATTTGTTGCTTTATTTCTTTGTTTCATGCCAACTAGTAGTCATGTCGTATAGTCAAGGCCATGGTTTTCCCAGATTCAATGTATGGCAGTGAAAGTTGGACCATAAGAAAGGCTGAGCGCCAAAGAATTGAGGCCTTTGAACTATGGTGCTGGAGAAGACTCCTGCGAGTCCCCTGGACCGCAAGGCGATCAAACCGGTCAGTCCTAGAGGAGATCAACCCTGACTGCTCTTTAGAAGGCCAGATCCTGAAGTTGAAACTCAGATACTTTGGCCACCTAATGAGAAGGAAGGACTCACCGGAGAAGGGCCTGATGCTAGGAAAGATTGATGGCAATAGAAGAAGGGGACGACAGAGATTGAAGTGGCTGGATAGAGTCACTGAAGCAGTAGGCGTGAGCTTAAATGGACTCCAGAAGATGGTAGAAGACATGAAGGCCTGGAGGAATGTTGTCCATGGGGTCGCGATGGGTTGGACATGACTTCGCAACTAACAACAACAGTAGTCATGTGGAACATGGGAACCCAGATATGATAGCCTTATATAAAGTCAAGCCTATGAAGAATGGACTGTTTTGGTATGATGTCACCTCTTTTAGATAGACCAGGCTCAGATATCAACTCCACAAGTGGCTAAAATTACTTTTACCAAGAGTGGCTATAATAACAGAATCTTGCAAGCCTGACTGTATTATACCTCATCCTCCTTCTAATGCTAGTTTAGACAGCTAGGGAGATACCTGCCTGAGCCAAATACTATCCGTTTTTTGTGTACTTAAAATATGTCTTGACTCCTCATTTGGGCAATGGAGTGGATATAACTCCATCAAGGCCATCTTCCTTACTTTGTGGACGAGGCCATGTGAGACATTATGGAAAGAATGACACATATAAAAGCTTGGTTAGCCTAAATAGATAAAATTCTGACAGCAAGCTGAAATTGTATTACGAGTTCCCACCTACAGGCAAGTTGGTTTTATTTTTTAAAGCCTGCGCACTTTCTGTAATTATCTGGTTTCACTCTCGTTCTGCCATTCAATTCTTCTGAAAACATTCTCTTTACTTGGGGGGGGGGAATCAGAGTCTCTCTCTTAATCTAAGCAAGTAAAAACATCCCATTCCCCCTTTTTCTGCCCTTGCAACTTAGACAAACTGAAATAGTAGATAGGAAACAGTTTGATAAGATTACAAAACTAAATAAACCTGGATAGCATCAGTAAAACTGGGGGCGTGTTTATTTTTTTCTGTGTTGTTCTGGGAAATGATTGATGACAGGTTAATGGATTTGGTTGGGGAGGGCAGGCAAGTAAACCACCTTTCTTTGTGATTTATTCCAGTGTCTTTCTTCAGAAAGAATGGGTCTCAAAGAAAGAATGGGTCTCGTGCTGTCCTTCTAATTTACAATTGGTAGCCTTTCCTGTGCGTGTCTTTGTGAGTTTTTTTGAAGACCATCTTTTGGGTCATCAAAAGGAGGAGAGCATTCATAGCTTTTGCAGCAACCTCAGGCCACCAGTGGAGTAAAGGGAGGATATGAGTAGGCATAGCTCTCTGAAGCATTGTCTGTGAGAGTCATAATGTGCCATTTTTGGCGAAGCAAGACAATTGTCCTTCCTGGAACGCATTTGTCCCTCTCTGATCCTATTTGAATTAGTGGGAGAATAATGTTCTTTTTTTTTTTCCTAGGGCACCAATGCCTCTGCTCTGGAAAAAGACATTGGACCAGAGCAATTTCCACTTAACGAACACTACTTTGGGCTGGTCAACGTAAGTATTATTACTCCATCCTGCCTTCCCTAATTTGATGCCCTGCAGATATTTAGATATCAACCCCCCTTAGTAGCAATCCTTTAGCCAAGATGGCTGAGGATCAGAGGAGTTAGAGGCAGCATAACTAAAAGAAATTGGGCTGGGGAACAGGGACACTTGAGAGAGTATCATCCTCTGCAAAGGGTAAATTTGCTGGAATGAAGGTTAACACAGGACTGGGGTTGCCTGCAAGTTTAAGATTCTGTTACAAATTGGTAAAGAGGTTTGATTAAATGTGGATCAGTGTAATTAAGATAGTGGATGTAGACCAGGGGTGTCAAACTGGCGGCCCGCGGGCCAGACATGTCATCCAGAAGCCGCGCCCACCCCATTGCCGGCAATGGTAAAACCGTCCCGATATGTTGCGCAATGTCACATGACGTTGCAAGTTTGACATGTCTGATGTAGACATATATGGAAGCTGCATTCTCATGTCCTTGCAAAAAACATACTGTACTTAACCCAAAGGTGCTTTTTTTTCAAGAGGCAACTGGACTATCTTGTTTTTCTTTGAAGACACTTCACTTCCCATCCAAGAAGCTTCTTCAGCTCTGACTGGATGGTGGGGAGTGGAAGGATTTATATTGCTTGCAGACAGCTGGTCGTTTGCATTCTTTTAGGGCAGTGTTTCTCAACCTTGGCGACTTTATGATGTGTGGACTTCAACTCCCAGAATTCTCCAGCTAGTGTTGCTAGCTGGAGAATTCTGGGAATTGAAGTCCACACATCGTGAAGTTGCCAAGGTTGAGAAACACTGTTTTAGAGAGTTGTTGAGGCCACTTAGGAGTTTACCCATGTCCTCAGGGTCACCTGAGTAGTGCAAAAATTTTTGCTGTCTGGGAAGAATATAAATCCTTCCATTCCCCACCATCCAGTCAGAGCTGAAGAAGCTTCTTGGATGAGAAGCGAAACGTCTTCAAAGAAAAACAAGAAAGTCCCGTTGCCTCGGGGGGGAAAGCAGCTTTGGGACAACCATGTCCTGGATGACTAAGAATCTCCATAGACATGTGAAAGTCTGAAAGGACGGCAAGGTCATTTACTAATTCATTAAGAACCCTTTGAATGAAAATGGAGGGCAACTTAATTGCCGTTTGATTGCCAAATCAAACCTAATGGCCATTTAATGCCAAATCAGATGGCAGTTAAGACACCTGTAATCTCAATTCATTAACCGATTCCTTGAGCAATGATTGGCAGTGGTAGGATAATAAAGAGCAAGCTGGATTAATACTCAGGCGTTGCATTACTCCACTGCTTATCTGTATGCTTATTTGCAGTTTGGCAACACATGCTACTGTAACTCAGTCCTGCAAGCCCTGTACTTCTGTCGGCCGTTTCGGGAAAATGTGCTGGCGTATAAGGCCCAGCAGAAAAAAAAAGAAAACCTCTTGACTTGTCTAGCAGACCTTTTCCACAGCATTGCTACACAGAAGAAGAAAGTTGGGGTGATTCCTCCCAAAAAATTCATCTCAAGGCTACGGAAGGAGAACGGTACGTGTAGATCCAGGCTAGTCAAGCCGATGGTCAGTGGTGCTGCCCCCGTTACTGTCTGATACCTGTCACAGAGTTTACACACACCATACTTGAGCTGCCAAAATCTGGATGGTTACTAGTGGAAGGGATGGAGCTTTCACTTTCCTGCCAAATAGCAAGCAGTTCTCTGTGCTTTTACAGCCCAGTTGTTGGGTGCTAAAGATGCTTTTTCAGGAGGCAACTGGACTGTCTTGTTTTTCTTTGAAGACGTTTCGCTTCTCATCCAAGAAGCTTCTTCTGCTCTGTTGAGCTCCGAGAGCGGAAGAAGCTTCTTGAATGAGAAGTGAAACGTCTTCAAAGAAAAACAAGAAAGTCCAGTTGCCTCGTGAAAAAGCACCTTTGGGATAACTATCACCTGGGTTACTGAGAATCTCCATAGACTGTTGTTGTGTGTGTGTCCCCTCAAGCCAGTTTTTTTGAAGCCTGGCGATTGCCTAGGCCAGGGGTAGGCAACTTGGGCTCTTTTATGACTCGTGGACTTCAACTCCCAGAATTCCTGAGCCAGCCACGCTGAGGGGAAAGGGAGAGGTTTCTAAGCTGAGCCATGCTGGCTCAGGAATTCTGGGAATTGAAGTCCACAAATCATAAAAGGGCCAAGTTTGAAGACCCCTGTTATAAGCTCTCCTCAATGTTAAAACTATGCTGAATGCCTAAAAATGGAGAAAGGATTTCTTTCTATTTCTGACGAAAGGGTAATTCATTTGCAGACAAGCAATCCTTAATGAATGGATTGCCAATATAGTCAATAATTAAATGATATCCAATTTAAATACTAATCCACATCCAAACCAGATAATCTCATTAATTTAGCCCAGGGGTAGGCAACCATGGCTCTTTTATGACTTATGGACTTCAACTCCCAGAATTCCCGAGCCAGCCATGCTGAGGGGAAATGGAGAGGTTTCCATGCTGAGCCAGGCTGGCTCAGGAATTCTGGGAGTTGAAGTCCACCAGTCATAAGAGAGCCCAGGTTGCCTACCCCTGATCTAGGCCAAGGCAGTCGTGGCTAGGCCAAGATCACTCAGCTGGAACTAGAGCTCACGATCTCCTGGTTTCTAGCTTGGTGCCTTAACCACCATGCCAATGCTGGCTGTGGAATTCTGGGAGATGAAGTCCACATGCCTTAAAATTGTCAAGGTTGAGAAACACTGGTCTAGCCATAGGAACTGGCCCTAGGATTGAAAATTAAAGCCTGGGAACTGAAGAAATAAACAGGTATACTTTGGGGCATCTGGTTTTTCTTAATTATGATTTATTTTTATTCCTTTCCTTCTTTTCTTTCTGTATTGGTTTTATTTATTTATTAGCCCAGAATTGTGTGCACAACAAAATGGTCATGTCTAGCCATCTTTTACATAAATAAATCAGGATACATCCTTTCCTTTTTTTTTAATAGATCTTTTTGACAACTACATGCAGCAGGATGCTCACGAATTTTTGAATTACTTACTAAACACTGTTGCCGACATTCTACAAGAGGAGAAGAAGCAGGAAAAGCAAAATGGCAAATTGAAAAATGGAAACGTGAACGAAGCAGAAGAGAACAGCAAACAGGAGCTGACCTGGGTGCATGAGATATTTCAGGGAACCTTGACCAATGAAACAAGATGTCTGAACTGTGAAACTGTAAGCACTGGCAGGATTAATACAAGAATTACCTGTAAAACAGCTGGACGATCATTGCATAGTCAAAGAAATCTCTACCTTTATAACAGGGGTGTTCAAACTTGGTCCTTTTATGACTTGTGGACTTCAACTCCCAGAATTCCTCAGCCAGCATGCCTGCCCAAGGAATTCTGGGAGTGGAAGTCCACAAGTCATAAAAGGGCCAAGTTTGAAGACCCCTGCTTTATAAAGTCATTGAAATGAGTTGGTAAAGTCAATATTTATTTATTATATGTGTGTTTGGGGCCATTTATCTATCCCCATTTATTGTAAACCTTATTTTTAAAAGGACTGCCAATCTCTCAGTCCAGTTTCTTTATATATGCAAAGAGCATGTGTACATAATTTTAATGTGCAAATCTCTATGCCAAAAGCAGGCATGTGTACATGATTTAAATATGCAAATCTCTCTACCCAACCTTTTCTATACCCCACACCCCTAGAACGCTTCTGATATATTCTCGCATCCTTTACAAAAGATTGAAATAACAGCAACAAATTATGCATATACACTATAATTTTGAAACTCCGAGTTTTCGCACCCTCTGGAATATTGTCTCACACCCCCAGGGGGTGCGAATACTCGTGGTCGTGAACCCCTGCTCTATAACAGGGGTAAACAACCTTGGCTCAAAACTCGTGGACTTCAACTCCCAGAATTCCTGAGCCAGCCATGCTGAGGGGAAAGGGAGAGGTTTCCAAGCTGAGCTATGCTGGCTCAGGAATTCTGGGAGTTGAAGTCCACGAGTCATAAAAGAGCCAAGGTTGCCTACCCCTGCCCTGTACAAAGAGCACATGTACATATGTTTAATATACAAACACCTGCAGGAATTTTGGGATTTATGACCACAACTGAAACTAGAATTTTGGTTGTTGAGTGAAGTGATTGTTATGTGAGACACTCGTGTGACCACTTTGCTCAGTGACTGCCATCCTGGCTCTCTCAATTGCCCTTGTTAAACACTCGTGTGGGTCATTAAGGGGAGCGCAGGGATGGCTCGGGGTGGTGGAGGCCCGGACCTGCTGCCCACCCCACCATGCCCGGCAAGTCTGTTACAACAGAGGTCCCCAACCTTTTGGGCACCAGGGGCCGGTTCCATGAAGAGGTGTTTTTTTTTCCGCAGACTGGACAGGGGTTGTGGTTTTGCGTGCTGCCTGCATCCTGTGGATGGGGCTTCGCTTGTATACATGGACCCTATTTCTAGCATGCCACAGACTGGTGCCTGTCCATGGACCGGGGATTGGGGACTCCTATATTACAAGGACCAGCAGCTGTCATGGTTCCAAAAGATGAAACTCTTCAAAGAACTTTGAGGCATTGTTTACCTTAAATAATCTTTTAATCAAGCAGCATAGTATGAAGCCAAAATCAGACTTCCCCTCCCTTCAGCACATAAATCAAAGCACAATTCCCTCCTACAACTAACAGTCATAAATCACATTCTCCAATTCGTTTGAAATGCTGGCTTTCCGCCCAGTTTTTCCCCCGCCATGCCTTCTCATCTCTTATTACAATACTGTATGTCTAACTAACTGTTCCTCCCCATCCCCCCAGTATCATCTAATTCTCAGAATAAGCATAATGTTCAAAGCAAGAACATCCAGCAGTGTTGACAGCGGCATGCACAAATTGCTCCACCCAGCTTTGTATTTTTTCACAACTGCTGACAGGCATGTCCCGCTAATGTGAGGCACACCCTTTCAACAGAGGCTGCCTTGCGCCGTTCTGCAAGAGAATATTTGGTTCTCTCATGCACACAAAGGAACTCCTGATGGGGTGCAGGAATAGAGCTCAGATCGTAAGGATCTCAGCTCTGTTTCTGCATCCTGCTGAAGAAGTACAGTTCTTTTTTTAAAAAAAAAAAGTTTTATTAGATTTTATAGGATTAGGGATAAATTGGGGTCAGGATTAGGGTTAGGGTTTAGGGTTGGGGTCAGAGTTGGGGTTAGGACGGGGTTGGGGTCAGGATTGGGGTTATCCCCCAGTAACATTTTCAATATTTAGCAAACAGAATATTTTCTGGGTACATATATTTAAATAACAATAATTAATATAATAATAGATAACAATAGTAAATAGTTACCATAGGCAGTATTAATTAATCAATCCATAACATCCTTCTTACTAATATGTATTCAGAATTACATATCACATTCCTTTCTCTCTAATTCTTTTTTCTAGCCATTGATAAAAGTTATCCCACGTTCTAAAGTAAACTGAGTCTTCTTTCTCTTTAATCTCTAAAGTCAATCTATCCATTTCTGCACATTCTAAAAATTTCTTGATTAATACTTCTTCAGTTGGTAAGTTTTCATTTTTCCAGTACTGGGCAAATATGATTCTTGCTGCTGTTAGTACATGTAGTATTAGATATCCACTCTCCTTCTTATAGTTAGCTCCTATTATTCCTAACAAAAACAATTCTGTTTTTTAGTCATCTTCTCCAACCATATATGTATCTTAACCCAAAACTTTTTTGCTTTAGAGCAGGGCTTTTCAACCAGGGGTACGGGTACCACCTGTGGTCCATTGGCACCTGGCAGGTGGTACACGACTATCCTAGAAAAGTGGTAGCAGGGGAGGTGAATGAGCTGAACCGGTGGCAGCACCGCACAAGCCTGAGCGAGAGACGGCTGGAGCTGCAGGGCTGTCAGGGCTCAGTGGAAGCGCCAGGATCCAGCTGATCGGCGCTTCTTCGGGGCTGTCAGGGCTCAGTGGAAGTGCCAGGATCCAGCTGGAGCTCAGTGCTGATCCTGGTGCTTTCTGCTAAGCCCTGAAGAAGCACCGATCAGCTGAAAAGCAGCACTGATCCTGGCGCTTCTGCTGAGCCCAGAAGAAGCGCGGATCAGCTGGAATGTTGCAGCCTCTCCAGGGTCTTGTGATTTACATTCAGATGCTTGGCAAGTGATTCATATTTATGACGGTCACAGTGTCCCAGGGTCATGTGAAGGGACCAAAACCTGCTGCAACCCCCCAGCAGACGGGGGGGGGGGGATAAAAACCAAGCACCCCCCACCCCACCCCCGCTGGCAATCCTCAACAGAAATGCTCACAACAATGAAAACCTCGGACAGGAGGAAGAGCGCCACCGGGCGGGCAGGCAGGTGTCTTGCTCAGCTGTGGCTTGGGGGGCACTTTTTTCAGTACCATTGTAACTTCGAACAGTCACTAAGTGAACTGTTGTAAGTCGAGGACTATCTGTACTTTATCACTTTTTTCCTTTTTTTTTTTTTTTTTTTTTTTTTTTGGTCATCAAGTTTTTGACACCTTGCTAGGCAACTGGTGGTACTCGGATGTTGCCCTATCGTAAAAGTGGTACAATAGGTGAAAAGATTGAAAAGCCCTGCTCTAGTCAATGGCCATTCAAAACGTAAATAAAGTAACATCTAATTATTTAATAAATGTGGAATAATAGGGTTGGAAGGAACCTTGGGTTTTTTGTAGTCCAGCCCCCTTCTCAAGCATTCCTGACAAATGGCTGTTAATCTTCTTTCTGGGGAAGCCGGCAGAGAAGATTCCAAATGTCACTCTCATGATTCCGGAGTGCTTGGCAAATGATGATAAGTATGAACAGGTTGCCCAGCACCCAGATTACAATCACTTGATAGGCAGCGCAACATTTCCCAAGCCGTCGTGACTTCAAACAGCCATTTAACAACCAGTCCTACCTGTATGCAGACATGCAATGTGTGTGCATACTTTTAATACACAAATCTACGACTTTGGAAAAGGTTTAAAGATTAAGTCGGGGCGCCGCCGAGAATGACTTGGAAGATGCGCTTCAAGCTTTGCACAAAGGCAGCCCTTCTCCGTTGCTGAATTGAGGCAGCCATGGCCTTTTAAGGCTTCTGAATGAAAAAAAGATGCCGCCAATTTAAGAAGTGGACTCATTTAAGTGCCTGTTAAGCAGAGTTGCCTTTCTTGTATGGGCAAGCTGAACCAAATTGTGGCCACTTTAATAAGAGCAGCCAATGTAAGGCAGCCACTAGATGGCAGCAAAGAGATATAGAGAAATCTAACTTTTGAATGTCATCTAGTGCAGAGGTTCTTAACCTGGGCGATATTTTTTTTTTTTTTATTAAAATTTTTATAAACATTTTACAATAAAATCCCTCCCCACCTCTCTCCCTCCCCCTCCCATTAACCCTCCCCCCTTCCCAGAGCTGAGTACAGAGCTAAAAACAACAAAAAAAGAACATAAAAAATTAAATAAAGATCAATCAATTATACATAAATCCTAAAAAAATTTAAAACCCCTTTAACTCCATTACAATAAAATCAACAAATCTAACCATAACAGCTTTATACAATAAGTTATTCAAAAGCTAAATAATACTTTCTAATCCCATATTTATTCTGAACAATAACTCTGTATCTTTTCCATACAGAGTTATATCTCTCTTGTGAATGGTCTTTCAGATAAGCCGATATTTTTGCCATTTCTGATAAGTAAGAAGCTTTGACCTGGGCGATATTGCCCCCCAGGGGGCGATTTCATTTTTCAGGGGGGCGATGGAATAAAAAGGGGCGACGCGGGGGCAAAGGAATGAAAAGGGGGAGATATGGGGGTGATGGAGCGAGAGGTTTGGGGGACACTTTTGAGACTTTTTCGTACAGTGAATTGCTGTATATCTGTCGTACAAAAACATCAGATCGCTCGCTATTAGTGGATTGAATTGTGTTTTCAAATGTTCCTCCAGCTAGCTTCAGTACAGAACGCCGTACATATGTGAAGACGCATCGCTTATCTTCATGCGCGTTGCGCAGCAGCCTCTACCCATACAGTGGCACGCCATTGGCCAGAATATGGGAGAGATGGGGAAAAGACTGGAAATAAATTATTTGCATCGATATGTCCTGATGACAATTTTAAAGAAAACAAAAAAAGTGTTTGCATAAATTGAAGAATTATTTCCTATGTTGTGATTGAGAGGTTATGTTAGGGGAGGGGGGCGATGACAACTTCCTTATTGGCTCAAGGGGGCGATTCATTCAAAAAGGTTAAGAACCACTGGATTAGTGAAGGGGTCCTCAATCTTGGTCACTCTATATCAGTGGTTCTCAACCTGTGGGTCGGGACCCCATTTGGGGTCGAACGACCATTTCATGGGGGTCGCCAAACCATGCTGTCCACCATTTTGTTCCCTTTTCCCTAGCTGTCCTACTCCCTCTTATTGGTGGCCACACCCCACTTGGGGGTCACCACAACATGGGGAACTGTATTATGGGGTCACGGCATTAGAAAGGTTGAGAACCACTGCTCTATACCAAGGGTCTTTTATGACTTGTGGACTTCAACTCCCACAACTTGACGTGGACTGGCTGAGTTGTGGGCGTTGAAGTCCACAAGTCATAAAAGACCCTTGATATGGAGTAGTCATCCATCCATGATTATAAAGGACAGTCCTTTCTGAAATAAAGGAAGATGTCCCTTATATGTATTTAATTTAACTCTTCATTTTCTTGAATATTTTCATAAAGAATTTTTTTTAAAAAAAATAACTTTTTTAAAATTCTTACAGATATCTTTCAGATCTATCCCCTTTTCAGGTTTATCCTTTATTTTTTTCCAAGACAACGTAGTCATGGTAGCTATGAAGTTCTATGGATGATGGTGATTTTTATCCCAACTTTTTTTTAAAATAGAACAAGGTGGCAAACATTTTTAATAATCACATTTCAGAAACAATCTTGGGAGATGGGTTGGGCTGAGAGACCCAAAGCTACCCAGCCAGTTTTCACAACTAACAATAAAAATACAAAATAAAATTCTGCCTTGGAGTTATGTTGAATACACATGTAATCATAGTTAGCAAAATCTGAACCATGATTAGATGTTATCCAATCTTTGAATTTAGAAATTCATTTGGTAATACTTTGCATTGGGGAAGTTGGCTGCCCCTGTGCCTCAGTGATTCGGTAAGATCCAGCGAGACCTTCCTGATGTATTGACAGGATGAGAGTCATTATTATAGGGTATCTAGCCTGAAATTAATATGTTGCAATGCTTTAAAATGCTGTTAAAATCTTGTTTTTGTGGCAGGTTAGCAGCAAAGATGAAGATTTCCTTGATCTGTCTGTTGATGTAGAACAGAATACATCCATAACTCACTGTTTAAGGTAAATACATTTTTCACAATGACCAGCATCATTTCTGCTTTAGGTTATTAAACTTTAGTGGGATGTGAAAAGAAAAAAGCTCTATAGATGTTTCAGAATGACGTAGCATAAGTCATATAAAGAAGAATCAGTGAAGCTTCTCTTGGCAGGCAGGAAGAAAAGTGAATGGATAATCACTTAAATATGAGACAACAGTGTAGGGCAGCAGCCAAAACAGCCAATGCAATCTTAGTTTGCATTAATAGAGAGATAGAATCAAGAGCACATGAAGTTCTAATACCGCTTTGCAAAGCCTTAGTAAGACCACACTTGGAATACTGCATCCAGTTCCGGTCGCCACGCTATAAAAAAGATGTTGAGATTCTGGAAAGAGTGCAGAGAAGAGCAACAAGAATGATTAGGGGGCTGGAGGCTAAAACGCATGAAGAACGGTTACAAGGATTGGGTATGTCCAATCTAATGAAAAGCCAGGAGTGACAAGAAGGGAGGACATCATAGCAATGTTCCAATATTTGAGGGGCTCCTACAAAGATGGGGGGGGGTCAAACTATTATCCAAGGCAGCAGAAGGCAAGACAAGAAACAATGGATGGAAACTAACCAAGGAGAGAAGCAACCCAGAACTAAGGAGAAATTTCCTAAGGATGAGAAACATCACTGGAGCTTTTCAGAAAGAGACTGGACAGCCACTTGTCTGGAATGGTACAGGGTGTCCTGTTTGAGGAGGGCGGGGTTGGCTAGAAGACCCCCCCCCCAAGTTCCCTTCCACCTCTATTCTGTTTTAAGTCAGAGGATACAGGGTGTAACAGAATATTTGGCAAAAGATTATACATTTTTGAATGCCTCTGTTATTTGCTTCGGAAAAGTCCCGTCTATTGTAATAGGACTAGTCAGAATCAAACAGATGGGAATAACACAAACACAAAAAGAAGCCCAACTAGGAAAGACATCCATTATTTGTCAGACCAAAAGCCTTCTATTAAATAATGTAAGCTATTTGTTCCCAAGCTTTAGAAACTGTATTTATCATAGCATTTAATTATCCATTATACACCGTTGAATTAAATACCGTACAGGGTGGTCCTCGACCATGAAATGCTTTTTCCGCTCCCGGACTCCATACTTTTGTAATGTTGGCCCATCATTTCTCCGATGTCATCTAGGTTTTTACAGTTTGACAGTCTTGGGAAAATGCTAATAATTTTTATCTGGAATCTTTTATTATGGCTTTTTGTTGGAATATTCATGAGCAGGAAGAGTCATGTGGTAACTCAGTCAGCCAATGTGAAGAAAGTGCTACTGAGTCTGTGCAAAAGGGTATTGAGTTAGGAGCTGGATTTCCAGCCTCAGGTTTGTCTCTGTATCTCTCTGTAAGAAGTCTTCATTGAGCTATGTTGCTGTAAAGAAGAATGTATGGTATTGTAAATATTTTGATATGAATATAAAAAGGTTATTTTGAATCAGCTAAATGCAGCCAACTGTGAGAGCTTTTGATTTATTTTTTCACCAACAGAGAAATTGAAATTCTCTAACACATTTTACTCTTTTTACATGCATGTTTCTGTTTCATGCCCTGCTGGCTGTGCTAAATTGGGTAGCCATCTGTATTTGTCAAATAAATGAATCTGTATGTAGGAAGAAGGGAATTCTACTACCCGCGCACTGCATTTGTGTAAAAGCATCCTGTTTGTGCCTACGATTGCCTCGAGATAATTTCCCTACTCAACAGCTGGCATGAAGCTGCCGTGAAGCCAGGCGTAATAAACCATTCACAGCCATCTAAAAATGGATACCTCTATTACTTTTCAGAGACTTTAGCAATACCGAAACGTTGTGTAGCGAACAGAAATACTACTGTGAGACCTGCTGCAGCAAACAGGAGGCTCAGAAACGGTACGTGAATAGACTTAAAAAGAATGAAACATTGATTATACAGTAGTGGTCAAAATTGTGGAAACCTTTTGGGAAAAGTGTACAGTAAAAATGCCACCGTTGGTTAAGTTTCCACCCATTTTTCTTCTGTTTTCTTTATAACTGTCGCCTTGTTCACTTAATAAGACTATTTTACATCGCTTTCTGGGCAACCAGTCAACTCTTTGCACCATTACTTTAATTTTATTACGTTTTACAAGCTCACTAAATGAAAGAACACAAAAAAACCATAGCGGTCACATAACACACTGACAAATGTCCTCCTCTTCACGTCAATACATGACATCAATAACTAAATCCTACTGTGATCTGATTGGCTCATTGCCAAAACAAGATGACACCTGATTGGCTCTCTAAATACTCATGCTCATTGGCTACAATCAGATGAAGTAAAGCTACCTGATATCAACTGAAGCAAGTTGTGCTTCCTTTTTCTGGTTATTTGGCTATAACTTTTCATAGAATACAGTACAGATAATTGAACAAACTACCGTATATGTCGGCGTATTAGGCGACCTGGCGTATAAGACGACCCCCGTCTTTATAGCCGGGCCGCATTCCTAGAACGTCGTCTTATACGCCGGAAACTACCAGTATTTCCGGTGTATAAGACGACTCGGCATATAAGACGACCCCCGTCTTTGGCGCCGATTTCAGCGCTCGCGGAAGTCGTCTTATACGCCGGCATTTACGGTATGTTGCATTACATTCTTGATTAAGTTATCTTTCTATTGATATATAATTTTATGGTACTACTCCAAAAAAAGTGGTGTCATTAGCCATCAAACCTCAAAAATACACTTTTCCCAAAAGGTTTCCACAATTTTGGCCACTAATGTAAATGTATTCTAGTTTAAGAGAGAGATGTTTGCTTGTTTTTTTGATATTATATTATTTTTGTCTTTGGTTCTCTCTGTTTCAAGATATGAAAAATGTAAGTGTTGGGATGGTTTATATGAGGGAAAAGATTTCAAGTATATAAGTGTAATTAACTCTTAAGAAAATTTTAACAGGTAAAAATGTTTCCTTTTGAATATTGTGGGGAAAATAAATTTAAATGAGAACTTTAAAAACAGGATCCATGATAAGATGATCTAGATGATTAATTAGAAAAGAAGCTCAATAATGAGGTGGAGGTTATTGGTGGATATTTAATACTTATCTTCTAGAATTATCAAGAAATGTGCTAATTTAAGGTTGATAAAAGAGAATACTATTGGAAGAATAGAAAATCAAGGAAAGCTACTATGGGGAATATGGAACTATAGAAACTAACTGTTGTTCATTATTTATAAATACAAACCCAGACAACACACTGTTTACCAAATATTGATGGTGATATGTTAAAAAAAAACACCAATAAAACATATTAAAAAAAAAGAAATGGTATGTGAAAGAGGGTTGCCTCATCACCATGCAGCTTCAGTTGATTTTCAAGCAGCAATTAAAGCAAATTGAAATCTTTTTGGCTTTAGGTCCTTGCTGAAGACCCAGTATTTTTACTATGGTTTCCTCAACATAAGTTGGAATAACATTTCAGATAATAGCAATAGCACTTAGACTTATATACCGCTTCACAGCCCTCTTTAAGCGGTTTACAACCTATTGCCCCCAACTATCTGGGTCCTCATTTTACCGATCTCAGAAGGGTGGAAGGCTGAGTAAACCTTGAGCTGGTCAGGGTCGAACTGCTGACAGTGGGCAGAGTCTGCCTCCTAATGCAGCATTCTAACCACTGAGCCACCACAGCATCACAGATAAAGCTTGGTCCTGCCTGTTTTGTTGAAGTATCTGTTTACAGAAAGTTTTATTTGTTTCTGCCTATATTTGTCCAGAATTTCTTACTATACAACTTCTAAATCCAGCTTGTTTTCACCCCCAAATTCCCTGTTGTCTTCTGGATCCTGAATCTGTAGGTCTGTTACTTGAGATTGTAGACCTGTTCATTAGGATGTGCTCCCTAACCAAATTCATAGGCATCCAGAATGGAAACTGTTTGTGTTAGTCATTCAGAACTTCCATTGATGTATTTACTAGTCCATTGGCTGCAATAAAAATCAATTTTATTTTCTTCAGGACACCAACACATATATGGTCATTAGAATTGTTAAATTTACTGTTCAGCTGAGAACGTGTTTTATAGAGGCCATTAAGGGAACCTGTAAACATTATACATTATCTAAACCAGTGGTTCTCAACCTGTGGGTCGGCACCCCATTTGGGGTCGAACGACCATTTCACGGGGGTCGCCAAACCACGCTGTCCGCCATTTTTTTCCCTTTTCCCTAGCTGTCCTACTCCCTCTTATTGGTGGCCACACCCACTTGGGGGTCACCACAACATGGGGAACTGTATTATGGGGTCACGGCATTAGAAAGGTTGAGAATTACTGATCTAAACCTATGTTTCACAACCTCAGCAACTTTAAGATATGTGGACTTCTCCAGGCAGCAATTTTACCTCACTTTTATCTTTTCATACATCTTACCTTACTTCTTTTTACCTCTCCTTCAGTGAGGTTGATCGCATTGCTTGTTGATAGTCAATTGACTAGTCAAGTTGTCCAATACGATATGACAGCCGTTCATGAAAGATAGTAGGAACAAAAACACAAATGTTTTGTTCCTTCCCTTGGTGATAATAGCACCCCAGCATGGTTCTCCTTCCAAGTAGCTCTCCACATTTGGTTCTCCACACGCAGGAGAATGAGATGGTGGAGCCATAAAATCAGACATACTTTCTGAAGAAGAAAAAACAACAACATGACCATGACAGAAAAGTCAAATGATTTGTCCAGCCTGCATTTCCAGTTCAGGTTTTCTTGAATGTTCAAATTGATTCATCTCTAACTGTGGTGTTTTGGAGGAGGGGGTGAGGAGAGGAGATAAACTATTTTATTTTGGACAGCTGTAGATTTTGTTTTAAAGGAAGTATGAAGTTTTCTTTTGAACAAACTACTTTAAAAACAAAGTGCTAATTATTACGGAGATGAAGAGAAAAGACACAGGTTTGAAGTATAACTTTAATGTCAGATAAAAGTAAATTATTCCCCTAGCCCAGGGGTAGGCAACCTTGGCTCTTTTGTGACTCGTGGACTTCAACTCCCAGACTTCCTGAGCCAGCCATGCTGAGGGGAAAGGGAGAGTTTTCCAAGCTGAGCCATGCTGGCTCAGGAATTCTGGGAGTTGAAGTCCACCAGTCATAAAAGAGCCAAGGTTGCCTACCCCTGCGCTAGCCCACTAGTAGGATAAAATGCTGTCTCTGTAGCCTTCTCAAAACTGATGCCTTCCAGGTATATTGGAATTACAACATCCAAAATTCCTAACCACCACGCCCAAGGTGCCTCATGGTTATGAGAGTCCCAAAACACCCAGGTCTCCAGTTAGTGCAGTGGTTCTCAACCTGTGGGTCGGGACCCCATTTGGGGTCGAACGGCCATTTCACGGGGGTCGCCAAACAACGCAGTCCGCCATTTTTTCCCCCCTTTTCCTTAGCTGTGCTACTCCCTTTTATTCTATTGGCTTTTGCAAGCCAATAGAATAGACTCTCTTGAATAGAGTCTACTTCTATTGGCTTTCAAAAGCCAATAGGAATTGTCCAGGCTGTCTCTGCCCTGCTGAGCCCGCCAAAAGTCCCATTCTGCAAACGGTGCGGCACCAGTTGAGTAGTCCTCGACTTACGACCGGTTGAGTAGTCCTCGACTTACGACCGGTTGGGGGTCGCGGCATTAAAAAGGTTGAGAACCACTGAGTTAGGGGAAAGCAGATCAGAGGGAGCCAATCTTCATTCCGCATTCCTCTTTCGGCTTCGTAGGATGAGGGTTAAGAAGCTGCCGATGATCCTCGCCTTGCACCTGAAGCGGTTCAAGTACATGGAGCAGCTACACCGATACACCAAGCTCTCTTACCGAGTGGTGTTCCCCCTTGAGCTGCGACTCTTCAACACATCGGGGGAGGCCATCAACCTGGACCGTATGTATGACTTGGTGGCTGTTGTCGTTCACTGTGGCAGGTAAGTTGCACTGTGTGCTCTGCCAGGAAGTAAACTTTTTGTAAGGAATATGAGTTTTACCCAGCCTTTCAATCCGGAAGCCAAAATAAGGTTCCCTTCTCTTGCACCGAAGATTTTTTTTTATCATCCAGGGATAGCTGAGGCATTCAAAAGTAGGCAAGCTTATAAAGTCAAAATAGCAAGAGCGCTTATATACTGCGTCACGGTGCTTTACAGCCCTCTCTAAGCGGTTTACAGAGTCAGTCTATTGACCCCCAACAATCTGGCTCCTCATTTTATCGACCTCGGAAGGATGGAAAGCTGAGTCAGCCTTGAACCGGTCAGAATCGAACTGCTGGCAATCAGCAGAGTTAGCCTGCAATATTGCATTCTAAGCACTGCGCCACCAGGGCTATTTTGATGGTCCTGTAGGCCTTTGGGAGTTTGTAATATTCATTCATTCATTCATTCATTCATTCATTCATTCATTCAAGGAGATAGCTTGGTTGCGTAGAAAGGGGGGGAAAAAGGGAATTAGCTTGCTCAGATTTTCGGAAGGAAGAGGTATATTGATTTTTTAAAAAAAAATCCCATCTGCATCTTAGTGGGAATAAAAGGAATGAGAAAGCCCCTTTTCCATATTCCATTAGTATACAATTCCCACATGTGTCACTGTTCTGTTCCTTGATTTTTGTACAGAAGGGGCACCAATTTTGTGCATCCCCTAGCACAGGGGAAGGCAACCTTGGCTCTTTTATGACTCATGGACTTCAACTCCTGAGCCGGCATGAAGGAACTATGGCCCCTTCATGACTTGTGGACTTTCAACTCCCAGAATTGCTGACTTGGAAACCTCTCCCATTCCCCTCAACATGGCTGGCTCAGGAATTCTGGGAGTTGAAGTCCCTGAGTCATAAAAGAGCCCAGGTTGCCTACCCCTGGCCTAGGCCTAGGCCGCTTTATGATTCATGGACTTCAACTCCCAGAATTCATGAGCCAGCATGGCTCAGTTTGGAAACCTCTCCCTTTCCCCTCAGCATGGCTGGCTCAGGAATTCTGGGAGTTGAAATCCACAAGTCATAAAAGAGCCAAGGTTGCCTACCCCTGCTCTAGCAGCTGCACACCATATTTGTGTCTGAGGAGAATCTGGCTGCCAGATTTCTTTTCTTTGCATAAACACAAGGTCACACTAAACATAGCTTGTGTAGTAACCTCAGTGTTACTCCCATGTAGCTATAAAATATTCAGGAGTGGAAATGACCTGTCTTAAAAGACTAACTGATCCCTTTTGCACATTCCCCAAAATTAGACAATCTGCCCCATCATGAAAGCATCAAATGGAGCCTTCTACCCAGTGCAGGAACACAGCTTAGCTGATAACAGTTGTCAGGGAGATGTTTTCTACATCAATGCTATCTTATCTTTTAAAGAACTACAGTGAGAAGGAAGGGAGGGATATTTTTTCTGTGCTGGAGACAAATAGCTAAGGAAAGACACACTCATTTTGTGCTTTGCTTTTAAGACAACTGACGACTGCTTAAGTGCAAAACATATGGACTAGATTTTCTGGTCTCATCCTGATAAACGGGAAAACAGCTATTTCCGAGCAGTTCGTTAATGTAGGCACAGTTCTGATTTTCAGTCCAAAATGCCTGATTTTTCTGCAGGTCACACACTTTTTTTTTTCCATTGGCTGGTGTGGGGCTCAGGGGCTCAAGAGTTCAGCAAATTGGCCTCTCACCCTTTGGATACCGACTCGTAATGTTGGTGTCTTTAATGCCAGGAATAAGATGGCGGATATTTGAATTCATTAAGAGCCCTTGTTAGAAAATATGGTCCTGTGTGCAAGCTGGGGGCTGAGAGATGAATGAGTAATGAAGTTGCAGAACATCCCATTAAAACTAAAATAAAATGCTTACGCTAATAATTGATCTGGATACAGGAAAGCTTACTTACCATTCAATTGTGGCCGGTGTTCATTGTATTCAGAGTCAAAGCTAGGTTTATGAAGAGATCCCTGAACACAGAGAAAACTCACTGCTGTCTAAACTATGAGAGGGAAGCCAAAAACAGGACATTTCCTGTGTGGTTAAATCCAGAGATTTATTCCACCAACAATAAGTCAGGGGGTAAATAGTCCCAGGAACAGCATGTGAAGCTCTGTCCCTCCATCTGTCTCTCGTCACTGGGCCTGTCAGTCCAAATAACTACTTAATGCAAAGAGATGGTTCAGTCCCCCACAGAAATAAAGATTCAAATGTCAGGTTTCAGCGAAAAGGTTTCTCCCCCCCCCCCCTTCCACCATTTTAAATGGTCTTTTTAAAAGGTCAAGAAAGTCTTATGGCCAAGCAGCATGACATGGTGAATCAGCTCTGGGAGGGCACCTTGCATTTTTTTTTTTTTTGAAGCCTCTTTGCCTCAGGCAGTCCTGGGGGGTAAGCAAAGAGTGGATAGGAATAATGAGAACGTGAGGAATATATTTGTTTTATTTATTTATTGTACAATCTATACCGCGCCGCGTAAAGAACTCTGGGGCTTTGAAGCACAAGAGACACCAACTAATGATGGGGAACAGTTACAAGGGCAAGAAGATAGATTCTCTGGGGGGGGGGGAGGCCTGTTCAGTGCCAACTGCAAAAAATTGGAGCCAGCTCTGGATAGAAAACAAGAATAATAAACAGCTGAATCTGTCTGCAAAGGGTTGCTTAACCCAGTAGGGTGGCTGGGAGGAAGCTGGCCTCACAGCTTTGGCTATGTGCTCTGTTTAAAAAAGGGCAGCTGAGCGTGCTATATAAAAACATTCCTTTACACTGGAGGCGAGATGTTAGATGTGATGTTTAAAGAGCCGTTTGTTTTTGTTTTATTTTTCTGTACCATAACTGAGATTGGACTGCCCCCCCCCCTCCTTACTCAGCTCAGCCTGGTCAAGCAATCCTCAAACTGTGCAGTTGCTTTTTCCGGTCCCTTGAAAAATGTTGATCCTTGCAGAAGAGCCTTACTAAAATAATAATAATAATAACAACAACAACAACAACAATAGTAATAATAATAATAATTTGCCATTAGTCAATTGCAAAAGGCGGCCTTACTAGGAACTGCTTCCATCCTGCGACGATACCTGTAATACCATCAAACATCCACATCTGCCTATCCCAGGTCCTGGGTAAGGACTCGATAGGTCGACAAAAGTGCCAAATCCAGTCTGAACATCTAGCTGACTGTGCGATGATCCATAATAATAATAATAATAATAATAATAATAATAATAATAATAATAATAAATACCTGTAACACCATCAAACATCCACATCTGCCTATCCCAGGTCCTGGGTAAGGACTCGATAGGTAGACAAAATGCCAAATCCAGTCTGAACATCTGGCTGACTGTGCGATAATCCATAATAATAATAATTATATCAGGAAGGCTTAATTATATCAGGAAGGCTTACTAACTACTGGAGAGACCAAACTGGCCTACAAGAAAGACCAAATGAAGAACAGAATAGAGGCATGGGAAGACAAAGCACTACATGGCCAATACATGAAAAAAATAGCTGGGAAAGCAGATAATAATAAAACCTGGCAATGGCTAAGAGCAGGAAAATTGAAGAAAGAGACCGAGGGACTAATTCTGGCTGCACAAGACCAAGCCTTAAGGACAAATGCATACAAAGTCAAAATTGAGAAGACAGCAACAGACAGTAAGTGCCGCCTATGCAAAGAAGCTGAAGAAACAGTGGACCACTTGGTAAGCTGTTGCAAGAAAATTGCGCAGACTGATTACAAGCAGCGGCATGACAAAGTAGCAACAATGGGGCATTGGAAGATCTGCAAAAAATATCATTTGCCTGTAAGCAAAAACTGGTGGGATCATAAAATAGAGAAAGTCATAGAAAATGATAAAATTAAATGCTCTGGGACTTCAGAATTCAAACAGACAAGCACAACATAACACCCCAGACTTAACAATTGTCATAAGAAAGACAAAAAAGTCTGGATAATGGACGTGGCAGTGCCTGGAGACAGCAGAATAGACGAGAAAGAACTGGAGAAGATAACAAAATACAAAGACCTACAAATAGAAATAGAAAGACTGTGGCAAAAGCAAGCAAGGGTAGTACCAATAGTAATAGGCTCCTTGGGTGCAATCCCAAAACAACTGGAGCACCACTTGAACACCATTGGCATTGACAAATTCGCTATTAGTCAATTGCAAAAGGCGGCCTTATTAGGAACTGCTTCCATCCTGCGACGATATCTGTAATACCATCAAACATCCACATCTGCCTATCCCAGGTCCTGGGTAAGGACTCGATAGGTAGACAAAATGCCAAATCCAGTCTGAACATCTGGCTGACTGTGCGATAATCATATAATAATAATAATAATAATAATAATAATAATAATAATAATAATAATTATCAAACATCAAAAACATCTGCCAGACTATCCCACCTCCTTTATATGGATGATCTGAAGCTGTATGGAAAAACATCATCTGAAATAGAATCGCTGCTCAACACTGTCCGTATATATAGCCAAGATATTGTAATGGAGTTTGGCTTGGACAAATGTGCCACACTTACTATCAAACAAGGAAAAATAGTGAAAACTGAAGGAATCAAGATGCCCCACGAAAATAACATTAAGAGTCTGGATGAGGAAGAGTACTACAAATACTTGGGTATCCTTCAAGCTGACAACATCAAGCACACTGAAGTCAAGAAAAAGATTAGAGGTGAATACATCAAGAGAGTGAAGAAGATCTTAAAGTCCAAACTCAATGGAGGAAATACCATAAAGGCAATCAACACCTGGGCAATCCCAGTCATTAGGTACACAGCTGGAATAGTGGACTGGACTCAAGCAGAACTAAAAGCAATGGATAGGCAGACCAGAAAAATAATGACAATGAATCATGCCCTTCATCCACGCAGTGACATTGATAGACTTTATCTACCAAGGCAAATAGGTGGGCGTGGAATGCTACAAGTACATCAGATGGTTGAAGAAGAAAAAATGGCTTTGGAAGAATATCTGAAGAACAATGATGAAGATGCACTGAAATTAGTATATCAGGAAGGCTTACTAACTACTGGAGAGACCAAACTGGCCTACAAGAAAGACCAAATGAAGAACAGAATAGAGGCATGGGAAGACAAAGCACTACATGGCCAATACATGAAAAAAATAGCTGGGAAAGCAGATAATAATAAAACCTGGCAATGGCTAAGAGCAGGAAAATTGAAGAAAGAGACCGAGGGACTAATTCTGGCTGCACAAGACCAAGCCTTAAGGACAAATGCATACAAAGTCAAAATTGAGAAGACAGCAACAGACAGTAAGTGCCGCCTATGCAAAGAAGCTGAAGAAACAGTGGACCACTTGGTAAGCTGTTGCAAGAAGATTGCACAGACTGATTACAAGCAGCGGCATGACAAAGTAGCAACAATGGTGCATTGGAAGATCTGCAAAAAATATCATTTGCCTGTAAGCAAAAACTGGTGGGATCATAAAATAGAGAAAGTCATAGAAAATGATAAAATTAAACTGCTCTGGGACTTCAGAATTCAAACAGACAAGCACCTGCAACATAACACCCCAGACTTAACAATTGTCGATAAGAAAGACAAAAAAGTCTGGATAGTGGATGTGGCAGTGCCTGGAGATAGCAGAATAGAAGAGAAAGAACTGGAGAAGATAACAAAATACAAAGACCTACAAATAGAAATAGAAAGACTGTGGCAAAAGCAAGCAAGGGTAGTACCAATAGTCATAGGCTCCTTGGGTGCAATCCCAAAACAACTGGAGCACCACTTGAACACCATTGGCATTGACAAATTCGCTATTAGTCAATTGCAAAAGGCAGCCTTATTAGGAACTGCTTCCATCCTGCGACGATATCTGTAATACCATCAAACATCCACATCTGCCTATCCCAGGTCCTGGGTAAGGACTCGATAGGTAGACAAAATGCCAAATCCAGTCTGAACATCTGGCTGACTGTGCGATGATCGATAATAATAATAATAATAATGAAGTTGGAAGGGACCTTGGAGGTCATCTAGTCCAACCCCCTGTCAGGCAGGAAACCCATTACCATTTCGGACAAATGGCTATCCAGTCTCTTCTTAAAAACTTCCAGTGTCGGAGATTCACCGCTTCTGGAGGCAGGTTGTTCCACTGGTTAATTGTTCTAACTATCAGGAAGTTTCTCCTTAGTTCTAGGTTGCTTCTCTCCTTGCTTAGTTTCCATCCGTTGCTTCTTGTCCTGCCCTCAGGCGTTTTGGAGAATAGCTTGACTCCCTCTTCTTCGGGGCAGCCCCTAAGAGATTGGAACACTACTATCATGTCCCCCTCGTCCTTCTCTTCATTAAACTAGACATACCCAATTCCAGCAGCCGTTCCTTATATGTTTTAGCCTCCAGTCCCCTGATCATCTTTGTTGCTCTTCTCTGTACTCTTTCTAGAGTCTCAACATCTTTTTTACATTGTGGTGACCAAAACTGGATGCAGTATTCCAAGTGTGGCCTTACCAAGGCATTGTAAAGTGGTATTAACACTTCACGTGATCTTGATTCTATCCCTCTGTTAATGCAGCCCAGCACTGTGTTGGCTTTTTTGGCAGCTGCAGTACACAGCTGTCTCATATTTAAGTGAGTGTCCACTAGGACAATTAGACTTTAGTCTCTCTGTGTCTGTTTGATACATTCAGGGGCTGTTTGATGGGATTTAGTATTATGAAGGTTGACTCGAAGTACACGTGCGCATAGACATACACACCTTCCTTCCCGTGTCTTCACTTTTTGGCCCACTTGCCATTGGAACATTGGTGGTACCAAACTGAACATGGAGGCTCATATGGAGAACATCACCTGTAGACCTCCCTACTTACGTGTGAAAGAAAGATCGAGAACAGGATTCAATGTCACCCTTGTCTTCTAGGAAGAAGGGAAAGTCAACATGGATATTTTGTTTCATAACTTTTGTGTTTAGAAAATTCTCCAGTATTTTGGTTTTATATTTTAATTTGTGGGGTGTGTTTTTTCCCTCCCTTCCTCCCTCACTCCCTTCCTTCCTTCCTTCCTTCCTTCCTTTTCAGTGGCCCTAACCGTGGACACTATATCACCATTGTGAAAAGTCATGGCTTCTGGCTGTTGTTTGATGATGATATTGTAGAGGTGAGTAAATTGATTACGCTAAGCAAACCTACTGAGCCTTAATTTAGCCCAGGGGTAGGCAACCTTGGCTCTTTTATGACTCATGGACTTCAAAATTCCTGAGCCAGCCATGCTGAGAGGAAAGGGAGAGGTTTCCAAGCTGAGCCATGCCGGCTCAGGAATTCTGGGAATTGAAATCCACGAGTCATAAAAGAGCCAAGGTTGCCTATCCCTGATTTAGTCTGTTTATGCATTGCAGCATTTCATTTGCTGAAAGTAAAATCCTTATTATTCCAATCTAAGGCAGCCTTTCTCTACCGTGTCAACTTTAAGATGTGTGGATTCCAACTCCCAGAATTCCTCAGCCAGCTTAATGGATAACAATAATATCGCTCTTTCCCTGGTGATTTGGAGGGACTCGTGTCTTCCATGTTTTTTTCAGCACTGCCTTCAGGGACTGATTAAAAAAAAAGTCAAGATGGCAGCTAGAATACAGGAAGTCCTCAATTTAGGAACAATTGCCTAGCAACTATTCAAAGTTACCTCCCCATGGCCACTGACAACCTAAGTTGTCAAAGTTCTAACAGCCACTCCCCTCCCCCTTCCGGGCTGTGTAATCGCAGTGTGGGTCCTTGGCAACTAGCCCACATTTACGACCGTTTGTAACAACCCACGTCCTTGATCATGATTTACATTTTTGCTGCAAACGAACATTTAATTTGGTTTCCAGCAAAGATCACCCACGGCGACATGGATTTGCTTGTATTTACTGTCTTCCTTTAACACCCATGGCGTTTGTCAAATGACTGCAGCGATCCACTTAATGACCACCATAAAAATGTTGTAAAATAGGGTATGGTCATTTATTGACCCTCTTAATAACCAGCATAATCTATGACTGTAATTTCAGCCTCGTTTACCGTCGTAAGCCGACGACTGTAGTGCAGTCAATGCAGACATTGGTAATGTTGTTGCAGCCATACCTATGCACCATTTTTTTTTGTTAACAACACTTTTTTGACCATACCACATGGATACCACTAGTCCTTTACAACAGTTTGTAGCTCCGCCTTATAACTCCGGCTTGCTAATCGAAGTTCCATCTTGGAAGTTTTAATGATGATTTTGTCTGCTTTGTGTTTATCAGATCACCCTCTGAACATCACATGCAGAAGGGCTGCAAAATGTCCCACAGCTGTCCTTGTTTTAGTCAGAGTAATATCTTAATTTGAGGGTTATGTAAACAAAAATATGTTTTGTGTTGTTTTATGTCTCGTCACGTGTCACTGACCGCCATAATGTTTTTGAATCAGGAATCATTATACCAAGATACCACTGTTACGAAGGGAAAATGAGGCGAAAGTTTTTTTTTTCCCCCTAAGAATCAGTTGAATTCACACAAAAGAGTCTTGGATTAAACCAGTGTTTCTCAACCTTGACAATTTTAAGGCATGTGGACTTCAACTCCCAGAATTCCACAGCCAGCAATGCTGGCTGTTGAATTCTGGGAGTTGAAGTCCACATGCCTTAAAATTGTCAAGGTTGAGAAACACTGGATTAAACAAACCTTAATAAAGTTTGAGTTGTCAGACTTTCAGGCCAGGAATAGTCCAAAGAGCTCAGCTGTTCACAATTTTGCCAACCGTGAGGGAAAAATACATGCATACATATTGCAAGTACGAACTTTGTGGAAAGAGCCAACTGTTTTGTACCTGGTTGTCTAGGCCAGATAACATTGCTAAAATCATGATATCAGTTCCTGGAACTTTTGATAGCTTCTCTCTTTTCTTTTCTCCCCTTAGAAAATTGATGCACAAGCTATTGAAGAATTCTATGGCCTTACCTCTGATATATCAAAGAATTCAGAATCTGGATATATTTTATTTTACCAGTCGAGGGAATGATTCAGGAAGACTGTGACTTTTTTTTTTCCATACTAGAGTGGATCCTGACCAACACTGTTAAATGACTACTCTGTAGACCTGACCAATACAGCCCATGCAGGATCATTGCTTACTCATGGACTAAAACTCCTAACTTATGTCTAGAAGCTTCTCCCATCTTAAGTCATCGAGAAAAAGAACAAATGTATAGAGACTCATATTCATCAGATGAATCCACTGAACTGAGGTATAATGTGGAATAGATGCTTGCATCGCCACTAAGGACCATTTCCACACCCATGTCTGAACTTCCATTCCTTTTCAGCAGTGATTTTTCAGACTGTTCTATGTGGAGTTAATTGAATTTCTTAAAAGATTCACGAGTGTTTTCAGATCACTCCAAATGAGAGCAATCTATAAGGTATCGACTAAGGGGGGGTCTACGACAATTTGCTGCAGCCAGCTCGCCCCAGCCAATTTGCCGTGGGACAAGAGATGCACTCATATCAAAGAAATAGAAATAAAATCATTAAAGGATGCTAAAGGTGGGACAAAACGAAATGTGAATGACAAAACTTAACCTAGTTTTAAATGATTTAATTCTTCAGATTAAATTGAATCGTCCCACATGTCTATGGAGGTTCTCAGTCCATCCAGGTGGTGGTTGTCCCAAAGGTGCTTTTTTCAAGACTTTGTTTTTCTTTGAAGACATTTCACTTCTCATCCAAGAAGCTTCTTCAGCTCTGACTGGATGGTGGGGAGTGGAAGGATTTATACTCCTTGCAGACAGCTGGTCATTTGCGTTCCTTTAGAGCAGTGGTTCTCAACCCGTGGGTCGGGACCCCATTTGAGGTCGAACAACCATTTCACGGGGGTCGCCAAACAACGCAGTCCACCATTTTTTCCCCCTTAGCTGTGCTACTCCCTTTTATTCTATTGGCTTTTGAAAACCAATAGAATAGACTCTCTTGAATAGAGTCTAATTCTATTGGCTTTCAAAAGCCAATAGGAATTGTCCAGGCTGGCTCTGCCCTGCTGAGTTCACCAAAAGTCCCATTCTGCAAATGGTGCTGCACCAGTTGAGTAGTCCTCGACTTACGACCAGTTGGGGGTGGCGGCATTATAAAGGTTGAGAACCACTGCTTTAGAGAATTGTTGAAACCGTTCTGTAGGATTACCTGTGTCTTCATGGTCACCTGAGTAGTGCAATGGGTGTGGAGCCTTCCAGTGTGTTTCCCTTCACTGTTGAAGACAGGCACACAGGCTGTTGGGGATGAGTCTGTCCTGTCTGAATCTCAAACTGAAGCACAGATGGTTCCTGTGGTCTGCAGTATTTTCTGTGCTTCAGTTAGAGATGCAGACAGCACAGACTCATCCCCAACAGCCTGTGTGCCTGTCTTCAACAGCGAAGGGAAACACCCTGCAGGCCAAGAGGGCTCCACACCCATTTGCACTACTCAGGTGACCCTGAGGACACAGGTAAACCTCCAGGTGGCCTCAACGACTCTCTAAAACAGTGGTTCTCAACCTTTTTAATGCCGTGACCCCCCAACCGGTTGTAAGTTGAGGACTACTCAACCGGTTGTAAGTCAAGGACTACTCAACTGGTGCAGCACCGTTTGCAGAATGGGACGTTTGGCGGGCTCAGCAGAGCAGAGACAGCCTGGACAATTCCTATTGGCTTTTGAAAGCCAATAGAATTAGACTCTATTCAAGAGAGTCTCTTCTATTGGCTTTCAAAAGCCAATAGAATAAAAGGGAGTAGCACAGCTGAAAAGGGGGGGGGGGAAATGGCGGACTGCGTTGTTTGGTGACTCCCATGAAATGGTCGTTCGACCCCAAATGGGGTGCCGACCCACAGGTTGAGATCCACTGCTCTAAAAGAATGCAACTGATCAGCTTTCTGCAAGGGGTATAAATCCTTCCACTCCCCACCATCCAGTCAGTGCTGAAGAAGCATCTGGGTGGAGAAGCGAAACGCCTTCAGAAGAAACACAAGAAAATCCAGTTGCCTCCTGAACAAAAAGCACCTTTGGGTGAATTGTCCCACAGCAAGTTGTCCCATGATGAGTTGGCCATGGCGAGCTGTCCTGCAGTGAGTTGGCCACAGTAAGTTCGCCATGGTGAGTTGGCTGCAGCAAGTTGTCCCATTCCACCACTAAGATCCCCATCAAATCTGGTGGCTCGTTGCTGATCCCCAGAGGGACAGAGAAAGGGAAGAAAAAGCTGTGTTTGAAGAAGCAAGAATACCTTCTCACCAAGAATAGGATCAGCTGAAGATACTTCACTCAAGCCTCTCCTCCAAAATCAGGAACTATAGTTGATACCAATTCCTTAAAGCAGCTTTTCCCAGCCTGTAGATTTCTAGATGTTTTAGGCTGCAACTTGCCTCTTGAGCTTTTCACATGCTATTCAGGGATATTGTTAAGTTGTGTAAAACGTCAGGGGGCACCCACCTTGGAGGATGCTGATTTTTCCATCTGTTTGCCCCATAATTATAGTACACGTAGTCCTCGTCTTACGACCGTAATTGAGCTACGGCCGAGTTTATGACCTTATTGGCAATAGTCATTAGGTGAAAGCGGTAGTTGTTAAAACAAACCTGTTTTAGCCAATGGCTAGATGGAAGTAAATAATAGTTTCCTGCAAAAAAAAAATTGCAGGAAATTCAGTGATGTGATCACAGGATGCCACAAGTGGCCAGAAAGGTGAACTGGTTGCCAAGTACCCAAAATGTAATCACATGATGGGGGGGGAGGGAGGACTGTCAGAATTTTGAAACTGGGTGGTTAATTCTGGGGAAGTCCATCATAACTTTGAATGATTGCTTAGCGACCAGTCATAATCAAGGACTACCTGTGCTGATGTTAGACTGAAGGTGTAGCTGTATTTTAAAGTGCACACGTGCATTTTGTAATTGATGAATTCCAGGAAAGCTTACCAGCCCGTTCTATAAAGTGAGTTTTTAAGGGGCCTTGTGATAAAGTGTTTCTGAAAAGAGCAATAGATGTGAAAAAGGTTCTCGTGTTGTAGAAATTCTAAAATTATTGCTTTAAAGGAAAGATAAATATTTTTTTTCCCTAAGTTTTTGGAACTGGGCTTGGACTGTGGATTATTTCACACGGCATTCTCCCTTAGAGAACTGAGCCTTCTAAATTTTGGCTTACTGAAAAATAAATCAAATTGGGAAATCGTTCTGTAGATCCACATTCCCTGTTTATTGTCACGCAGCAATTCACTCTTGTACACTGCCCAGAGTCATGTTTTTGTGAGATGGGCGGCCATATAAATACAATATATATTTTTTTAAAAACCAAGCTGGTTCTTTGGATGCTAACAAAAGATTAGGAATTTGGCACTGGAAAAAGGGGAGGCTATTTCTCCGTGTTAGTTTCATTACAAAAGTTAGTTTTACTCTTCACCCAAAGAGCTACCAAAAATTTGGTTCTTGCTTATTCAGATCTGCTTTTGTATCAATGTCACACACGTCATCCAAGAGTTACAGCAAAAAATAGTAAACCACAATCCAAAATTCCATAAGATTTAAACACATACGTGAGCAGGGATTTTTAGTTCTTTTCCTTCTTGGAAGATTGAACAAGCGTGCGTAGGAGATCCTGCGTGCTGCTGGATTGAAAGATGGTGCTGAGGCCTACAAATTGCCACGTTCCAGTAAATTTCGTGGACTACTCAGAGAGCAAAATGGGATGGCATCTTCTGGAATTTCCCAGGCCCTGTAATACATTTCACATTTTGCAGTAACAACCAAGTCTTGGGTTCTGCCTCTTTGCATTTAAGTATGACCAAGAAGTTGAATTTTGGACGAGGAGAAGAGAGGAGAAGAGATTGCAATTTCGAATGCTCCCAATCAGTTCAGTGTGATAAAGTCAGTGGAGGATAATTGACAAGGTCACTAAGGGAGGCACAGTGTCACTGAGAGTTGAGGGTTTTTCAATGCTAAGAGGTAAACCTAGCATCTGTTTTGGTATCCCTACAATCCTGCCTGAAACTTCCTATCTTAAGAAATAAAAAGTTAATACGCAGTGGTCCCCATCAAGTTTTATGTCATAGAATAAATGGGCTACAATTGACTAGGTAGTTCAATTATGTATGCACACTGAGAGCTTATGCACCGGAGACAATTCCTTGTGTGTCCAATCCCACTTGGCCAATAAAGTATTCTATTCTATTCTATTCATAATAAACAGTGGCATAGGGTGACAACCATCACTGTAGATAACATCCATTTGAGATGTCCCAAGTTCTCTCCCCCTCTGCATCTTTTTCCTTCTTGTCTGTTAATTGAACAACTTGCCTCCAAGTTATTGAACAGCTTCCCTCCAGAAGTTGTGAATGCTCCAACATTGCAAGTTTTTAAGAAGAGATTGGACAACCATTTGTCTGAAATAATATAGGGTTTCCTACCTGAGCAGGGGGTTGGACTAGATGACCTCCAAGGTCCCTTCCAACTCTGCTATTTTATTCTATTCCATTCCACTCAACTCCACTCTGTTCCATTCTACTCTACTCCATTCCACTCCATTCTACTCTACTCTGTTCCACTCCAGTCTACTCTACTCTACTCTCAACCAATCATTTTATGACTGTTTATAGAGTTACCTCGAATGGGTATTTTACAACTGATATAGCATTTCCAGTTGTCATAATGTGTCATGCTCCCCCCTGCAGGATCCCATCATAGCTCACCTTTATTAACTAGTTGCACCGTCCCATGGTCCCATGACTCTGATTTTGCAACTTTTTTGCTGATTTCTGGCAAAAAAATCCCCATTCAATAAAATGGGTTGACTTAACAGCTACATTGTTCACCTAACGACTGCCGTGAAAAATATCGAAAAATACTGGTCTGGTCACATGATTGCCTCAACTCACGACCAGATTTCTAGTTTCAATCGTCATAGGTTGAGGACAAGCTCTAGTGGGCTATACAATTAAAACACCCCCCCCCATGTTTTCTTCAAAATCAGCTGATCGCTACATGTACTGGATAGCTTTAGTTTGGACCCCAAATATGTTCCTGAATGAAGCTTTTCACTTTCCAGTTATCGAAGCGAGGAACTGGCAATCAGATCCAAAGAAAAATAGAATGCTGCACTTTTAATATAACAGCTAAATATTGGGGTACCTATGTCCATTTCCAGCAGAATTGCATCATTTTTCTGATGTAATAATTAAGAACTGTGCTCTTTGCAGGGATGAAGGATGAAGAGGAAAGGATGGTGCTTCTAGTTAGTTTTGGCTCTAAATTTAGGTGTCAAATAATCTTCACTCCTAAGATTTAGATCAGGGGCCTTCAAACTTGGCAACTTTAAGACTTGTGGACCTTAACTCCCAGAATTCCTCAGCCAGCCAGAGCTGGCTGAAGAATTCTGGGAGTTGAAATCCACAAGTCTTAAAGTTGCCAAGTTTGAAGACCCCTGACTTAGATCGTAGGAGGTGGTGTACAGCATGCTAGGAAACGATGTTGATTCAAGCCACTAGGAGTGTCCATAAGAGATCAAAAAAGTAAAAATGGCAACCACATAAAAATTGGTTAAGGTGGCTGCCATCTTAAGCTTTTTGACCCCTTTCGCTAGCTATCTCTGCCAACAAATAAAGGACACAGGATTCAATCCACTGAACTCAGTGCAAAAGGTTGCTGAATTTCTAGATCTCGATAGGGATCCATGAATCGGTTCAGGAGGAAATCCTAAAAGGGACACAAACTCCTGTGTTTCTTTCCCATGGAAGAGA